CCTTTATGTATCCACTCCCCCACTCCCAGACCCTAAAAGCATTAATCAAAATCCCAACTCTTTTAATAAGCACCAGTAAGATAAGCCCCTCACCTCAGAAACACCACGTCTCCACACCACCCCTGACTAGGCGCACAAGACTGGTGGTGAGCCTGCCGCGTTTCGTCGATGCCTATGTTCTTGAGAATTTTTCTTAGATAGATTAGGGCTTCCAGCCTAGGGCCGTAGGGCTATTGGCTTTACGTACACTGTCCGCTAAACAACATGCATAGTTCTAATTTTATCTTTGGAGGATCTGAAGATTGTGCAAGAGCCCCAAAACCGATTCAGCGCGATGTTGTAGGCCATTTGCGTGCGCGCCGCTGTATATCAGGGCTTCTGAATTCTTAAATGGGTTGACATGGTTTCGGTCAAAGTAATTTGAATAGCTGCTACTTCAAGATGTGAAGCTTGCAGAACAGGAGGAAGCAGTCCCTAAACCCCCAAAACCCCCAAACCCTAAGCCCCTAAACACTAAACCTCGGTGCGTGTGGCATGCGCTCTGCCGAAGTCTAGAGGAGACTTTTGAATCAAACGCATCCCGCTCTCTAAACCCTGGTAACCTGGCCTTTGGTTACCTGGGAACGAAGGAATGGAAAAGAAAAAGGAAACTACTACTATAATGCGTTGTATAGGGACTACTATAAGGATTCAGGGCCCACTTTCTGGGAGTCCCCAAGCAATTTCCATACTAGTGTTTAGGGTAGGGTTTAGGATGTAGGGTTTAGGGGTTTGCGTGTGGGATATATAATTTTTCATGTACATGTAGACTGAACCCTTACCTTCGGAATTACCCATTTAGATGCCTAATTGGGCAATGCCCTAAACCTTTAGCAGGTTTAGGTGTAGTTTGGCTTCTGGGTTTCTTGCATACTTATGGTAGGTCTTGGCACCGATTCAGGCTTCCCTCCCTGTGAATCCCGCACATCAACCCATTGTCTATCTTCTGTTCCATCTGGTTTTCCATTAGTGGCATAATTCTTCAATCCTTGGTTATTCCCATGTAGGTTTAGGGTTTAGGGTTAACCTCTCCCTCCTAAACATCCTTTTTGTGCCCTTGTAGTAGCCTTTGGGTAGACCCCCCAGAGCACCAGACTGCCAGAATGGCAGGAACAAGCTTCGCGGGAAGAAGGGCGAAGAGCCGGACCCTCATTTGAGCGGCATTTTATTTGGGATGCTATGGTACCTCATATAGAGTAAGATGGTACTGCAAAGGATTGAATTTCACTGTCATCTGGGCTGCTGTTAAGGTACTCGAATCAATTTACTAGAATATGGGAATTCCATTAAGATACGCATGTTCTGGTAACTCGCCCCCAAACCGTAAAACAAAAAACAAAAGATAACTTAAACCCTGAACCCCACATACGCATATTAAGGTAACTTAGACCGTAACCTCTATATGCCCATAGCATGGTAACTTACTTGACCTAGACCCTTAACCCTAAACCCTATATACCTACATTATGGTACCTGGTAACTTAAACCCTGAAACCTATATACCCATATCGAGGTAACTTGAACCCAACACCCCAAACCCTAAACCCTATATGCCCATAGTATGGTAACTACATCCAACTGCTTTAGCAGCAACCCAGTCATCTGCTGCCAAGTCTCAGACGAGCCCTGCATGCATATGGGGATTTAAGGTTTAGGGTTTAGGACTTGGGGTTTTGGTTTAGGGTGTAGGGTTTGGGATCTTGGTTTAGGGCTTAGGTTTTTGGTTCAGGGTTTTGGGGCTGGGATTTTGGTTTAGGGTTTAGGGCTTGGGGCTTAGGGTTTTGTTTGTTTACAGGGGGATATATGGGGATAATCTGGGTCTCAAGGGTTTTAGGGTTTAGCATTTAGGGCTTAATGGGGGGGTGTCGGATTGCTAAAGGGGGTCGTATTAGAGCT